CTCATCAAGTTTAGGGTGTTGCATATTCTAATAATATGCACTTATTTCTTCTGTTTACTCTTTGTATGTTTGAATAAATGGGTGGAGAAGTGAGCAGAACAAAAGCAAGTTATACCTAAGGACAATAAAAGATAGGATGCTGTGAAAAATTCAGCCCTCAACATTTGGAAAAGTGATACGTTCGCTTTAATGTTCTTATAAGATTTAGCACGTTTTCTTTTTCAGTCGTTGTTTCACCATTATCATCAGCAATATTATTATTATAATTATTATATTTATTATTATTATCATTATCCTCATTATTATCATTATCTTAATTATTATTATTATCATACAAACTGATTGACGTATCTGTTTTGTGATGGCAACGAATAGTCGTTGTCGCTTTCGTAATGTCCGTTGTAGCGAGACTTTGTAATCGCAGATACAACTATAGTAACGCCGTTGAACAATACTAGTGTCAGACGCCTTCGAATAACACCCGCACTAATTGTGTTGTAGAGTGGTTTCACAGTAGAGGCTTGTATTTGTACTAAGTCGGTCCTAAAATAGATTCGACGTACAAAACGTCAGGAACTTGATATAATAGGTAATGACACAGAGAAATCTAGTGGTGGTCGCTGATACTTTAGTATCCGACCAACGGTCGTCCGATATCGACTGACTCACCAACTCCTTGAGCCGACTTCTCGTTACTCTTACTACTCCTACTTATTATAGGTGGGAGAGTCTTTTAACTAAAGAATAGGTGTGTTCCACTATAACAACTTGCTCAATAATACTCGGTCGAATAGTAATCTGTTTAGTGATCTGAATAGCGAAATATATAGTAAATAGAGTAGATAATAGCGGTCTGTATAATAATAGAGGATAGAATAGAAATGGAGATCTGTATAGTAATAGAGGATAGGATAGAAATAACGCTCGTTAGTCGACTTCCTACATATATGCGTTTCTTCTACGGTCACTTGATCTACTTAATTCAATAATGGGATCGCCTTTGTTTGCACACTGGGCGATCAATGTTCAAACTCAAGTGTCGGTAGCGACATTTTATTCCTATATAACACTCTACTAATAGCTTTTAAAACTTAAGAGAAGAGCTTGATTTAAGAAAATAAAAAGAAAAGAAAAAAAAACACTATTTTTTTACAATATTAAACAGTATTTCGACAGAATGCCTTTTTTTAAATTAGTTATATTTAAAAAAATCATGTATAAAAACATAAATCTACAAAAAATTATAACTCTTTTTGGAAATGTTGCTTGTCTTGTAATCAAAAAATGGCTGATGTAATCAATCAAAAAAACGTCATGATATAAACGGAATTTGCGGGACATCTTAAAAAAATTATTTAACATTTTTTGAGGATGAAATATTCCCGAAAGAACGAATAAAATGACAGGAAATTGTCTTGTTAATCGAAAAATTAAAGACATTTTTATTTATGATCGTTGTTATTTTATAATCAACAAATGCTCGTAAACAGTATTAAATAAAACCGGCCTGAATGTCCGAGAATTTTGATTCGTTCATAGACAGGATTCGAATGAACGGAATCATTTGACGTGCCTTGGGACCATCTTAATCAAAACGTTATAAACTACAATCTTCCATGAATCTCGTAACATAAGCATCTTAAAATGACGTCATATGTTGAAAGGATGCAATATTAAAGACATTTTATTTATGTTTTAACCTTGATAAACAGTATTAAATAACATTCTGAGAAATTTTCATAGTCAAGGCACGTCGAAAGAACGAATTTCTCGGACATTCAAATGACAGGAAATATATATATATATATATATATATATATATATAAGGTTTATATTAAGCGGTTTGATTAATTCCTCTTAGTAATTAATCAATTAAGGGAAATTCCAAGGTGAACAAGCTCACCATCATATTAAGCACGTTTCAGTTGTATTATTATTATTATTATTAAATTTTTGCTGTATAGTCATTTCAATCCGAATCCCAACCGGCCAACTAAGGTCAGAAATGGTATCATTGTATTTTCCCTGCACACTTGTATAGAAAGCCTACAAACACATACACATCATAGAATGTGAGCTGTTCTTTAAGAATAATTTTTGTATTAACTTAACACACGGGCTGACAGGAATCCATTCAATGTGTCTGACCGCAGCTTCTGAAATCAAACCCAAGGTCCCAACAACAAATTAAAAACTCTTCATGTGCCGCTTTCTTGAAATCTTCACTTAAACATTCTTTTATCAGGAAACATTTTTGAAGATCATCATCATCTTTTTTTCTTCTTCTTCTTCTTATTATTATTATTATTACTAGCCGAAAATCTATCTTGCAAACGGTTTTATTAATAAATTTATTTATAAGTAAGGGTATTGAAATGAAAAGATTTGAAATGAACAAATTATTCTTTAAACTGAAACGGAAGTTAAACAGTTCTTTCTTTGCTTCAGTTTCTAACAGAAACGAAGTAGCATCACTGATATTTCAGTTCCATGTTTTCACGCGATCAAAACAAAATAATTTATTATTAGTGAGGTATTGGCAGGACGCAAGGCTCGTGCGATCTAAGGCATTAGCTAACGAAGGATGAAACAAATAGAATAATAATCGAGAGAAGGAGATTCTTCTTCTTCTTCTTCTTCTTCTCCTCATCATCATCATCATCCTCATCCTACTTCTCCTCCTCCTTGCGGGGTTATTACTGGTGACTGACTGACTGATTCTCAAGTCCCCAATTCTGCAACGAAAAACATGTCAACTCTCTCGAATTTCGATTCTCGTGTTTTGGAAAACGTTCAGACATTTTCTTAGCTATCATGCATAGTTCTGTATTTTATTTTTGTTCTAGTCGGCATTTTTCTTATATCTCAAACAAATTAGAAATTGCCTCACTCTAGCAGAATTTTGTTGAGCCAATTAAATATTTTTGAATGTATGAACCATTCTGAGCATCATGCCGACACCCTATTCGTTAATTGAGTGAGCAAGATCCAGCAAATTACTTTAGTTTTATTCTTATGGTTGTTGCTTTATTGAAAACGTAACGTCTCTTTAAACTGCGATAATTTTTATATTAGACTGAACCAAATAAAAGCTCGAGAGCCAATCAAGGTAGATGACCGATGTTAAAATGGTAATGATGAATGAGTTGTTTCATATAAATAAAAGAGGAGGTGGAATAAAGTGAAGCTTATGAAAATGAGGAGAAAAGATAGCAATTTAGACTTCATTTGAAATGGTCAAGAGAGAATTTTTCAGGGAAGTTCCCTCTTGTACGGTTTTTGTGAGAAAGCTTTCTAGGTAGGCGTATATATAGAGTAAGTTGCATTTGTGGTAAACAACTGCAAGGAAGATTGTTATGAATGTATTTCTGAAAGGTTACGAAAAATGCCTCGAGCCAGTAACTGTATGTCACTTTCAATATTTCTGTAAGTCGACTGTTCTGTAAGGAGAAATATCCGGGATAACAATGGCATTTTCCACTAACCTTTTCATTAGAGTCACCAGGTTTAGTTTCCTTGGATCAAATATATTTAAGCCTTTTATATCAACATCAATTTTATGCCATCAATGATGGTATAAAATTGATGTAAAATAAAATATGTCCGTGGATTGTACTCCTGTATATTTCTTGATAATAATCATGAATATATAATATTTAATTTTTACATGACTTCTTTCTCTAGAGTAAGATTAAATATTATACATGATACGACGCCCTGGGGATAGGCGGTCAAGGCAAAGTTCTACATACGAAAACCAGTCGGCAGCGCGATGCAAGCTGGCATCGTGAACCTGTCTGTCAAGCTTTGGTTTTCCGCAGCGGATGATGGCAGCTGAAGTGTGTGTGCCATGGAGTGGCGACTCATGGGCCAGCTCAAACTATTCGCAGCCCAGGTTTACATATTCAAAGCCTTTTCTTCTTCTCACGTCCTCTTCGCCAAAAATCCGGGCAACTGGGAGATGGAAGCTTCAGATAGAACCAATTCGAGGGGAGCTGTCCACGAAAAGAATAACATCATTCGAAAACACCAGGAGAAAAGTAGTTGAATAGATCCCAAAGAAGAGCCAGAGCTCTCCATTCCCTGAACTCTTTTAGCCAACTCTCTTCAGATCTAACATAGGACTCATTTCGCGCATATTTCTATCAGCATCTCAGTACACGGCGATAGAAAAAGTAGTAATCCAACAAGTATGTATTATAGTTGGGGATACACTTAATAAGGTAGGATACGCAAATGACACCGTGTTGATGACAGATACAAAAAGCTGAAAAAATATGACGAAAAGATTAACCATCAATTATAAATAATACAGAATGAATCATCTTTTAACAAGAGAAATAGTCTAAAGTGTAATCTATGAAGTGGTGATTTCAAAACCAATACAGAAATTTCCTTCTCCGGTGTAGTTTTAACAGATAACGGAAATGGGACGAAGAAATCCGAATGCTCACGAAACAGCGAAATATTTCTTCCCAAAAAATACAAGAAAATGATTAAAAAAAAAAAAAAAATTAAAGCTTGGTTAAAAGCAAAGAACAAGGTTGTGAACTGCTATATAATATCAATCTCTTATAAGGCAGTCAATATTGATTTTTTTTTATTGATTCGTTTTCTCCGGGTTATCGACCCTTTGCAGGCTATTTAAAGCCAGAAGTTAATTTTTAGATTGTAAGATTTTGTTGGCGATAACGATGATTTCAGTGATAGAAGTTTTACTATTTAACCCATAGCTGGGGATAGAAGATGTAAATTCATTTGCACGTAAGTGAATATAACGAACCCAACGGGAATTATAAACTTGACTTTGCAATCAACAATTCCGATCCATTATCAATTACAACAGCCGCACTTCCAAGTTTGGGCACCTCAGGGTGGCGTAATGGTTAGCAAGCTTGTCTCGCTAGAACTATTACGACTGAGTATTGAGTTCAATCCTCACTGGGTACCCCATACTTTCGGCCTTGTGCCACATCACCACCACAGCCGCACTTCCAAGTTTACAGCGCTTGCTATTCCCAAGTGGTCACCTATCTAGTTACTAACCAGGCTCGACGATGCTTAACTTTGGTGATAGTACGGGTAACGGTGTTTCAACAAGATGTGACCGTAAGCCAGCGAATGTTGAACAATTTTCAAACAGATAAAAAAGAGAAAGGAGACAGAGTATATGTTTTTGTACATAATGACGTTTAGAAGTTTTAATCATTTCACCTCAAGAAAGGCGTTAAAGCCCCTACGGTCCTAGAGAGTGAAAGAAACTGCGAAAACGTTGTTGTGGATAGAGAAGGCAATAGAAAACCAGGATTTATATACAAAGAAGATGAAGGTTGACGTAGCATTTATATTTTTGAAGATCGCAGTTGACAGGAAATGAAGAATCCGGATGAGAGTTCTATAAACTTATAGAACTTAAGGTTAAATCCATTAATTTCAACAGTAAAATAATGGCACGGAGAATCCAGTACTACACTTAAATTAAAATCATGATACCAAGAAGGAAGAATTACCTTGGCATTATTTATAAAGAAAAGGCACAGGGAAACTACGTTACTATGGTGGGAAAATGACTGAATCCGTCAGTTCTAGGAATGACAATAAACTAAATCCAACAGCAAGGCCTTTGTTCGGAAAATTGGAGTTTTTGAGGTTCGTGGAAAAACCTAATTGCTGTTGTTCCCAGAACCACACTGACCCAGGGTGGTAGCACCTGTTAGGGTCCCAGCTATTGTCAAATAGTGAACCACAAAACTGGGGTCGAAACACTATGAATGTGTAGAAATACATGTTTAAAGTGACGGTGCCAGTAATACATTTTCATAGAAAAAATATTACTACCAATACATTTTTGGAAAATATTACCAGCATACATTTTATAAGGAAAAAAATACCAGCAATTCATTTTTAATAAGAAAAATATACTTTTAATAAAGTTTTGAAAAACAAACATTTCCAGTATTACATTTTTTTTTAAAAATTACCAGTAATACATTTTTGTAAGAGAAATTACTAATTTCTCCAAGGGAATTAAAATTTGGCATTAAATGCTTATTGTTTTATATAATTAATACTCTCAAATTAATCGACTGATACATTTCTGTATAATTTTTTTCGTGTATCTGCAAAGGTGTTGTAGAATACTACTCACATAGATACCGTAGTAAATATTGTATCTTGGCCTGCAGTTGGAGATTCGTCTCCAGCTATGCTGGCCAAACTCTCTGTCTCCGGACAGGGAGGATCCCCGGACGGGGCTATGCCGAAGGGCAGAGTCTTGTCTCGGGAAAAACCAACCCGACCCCGTGTTATACGGTATTTACGTGGAATTTTGGGCCGAGCCTACGAGCTGGGATACCCCACATTAAATTCGGCCTTTTGCCACATCTGACCGCGTGGGGTGGTTGGTAGATATCCTGCAATAAGAGATTCATTATGGAATAAACTTGATTCAATTCTAACAGTTGACTACTACTTCTATGCTCCGCTGGCAATCTTATATGTGTTTATATATATATATATATATATATATATATATATATATATATATATATATATATATATATATATATGTGTGCTAATTATTATCGTTCATTACCAACCTTCCTATGATTATTCTAGTCAGTAAACTTCCCTAGGTTGCAACAAAAGGAAAATTGCATAAATATTTGTTTCAAATCGTTATCTATATTTTAGATTTGCTATGGAAGAAGGGATCTATCCATCTATCCATCAATCAATTTTTGTAAACTTTACTACCTCTCTGTCGTAAAAGAAAAAGTATATCTTGTCAAGGTCTATGGACAATATCTGTAATATTTGAGCAGAGTTCAAAGCATGCAAGAAAGAAATCTTGTTATTGATTAATGAAGAATCCACACTTTATTTGTTGCCTCACGGGCATTGTGTAATGTAGAGTGAGATCTGGTTTTGCGTCGATAATTTTGGTATTTTAAAGAATAATATAAAATACAACGAGGAAGGAACTAAAGTTTTCTTTTTTCATTTTGTTTTTCTGTCCATATATATATATATATATTGTTTTCCCTCGATAATTCTATGTTGTTTTGAGGGTTGATGCTAGATGTTTACTGCTTATTTCATATTTGGCAATGGCTCTTATTGCTGTCCTTGCTGGGAGAAAGAAAAAAGCCTTAATAAAATTGGAGAGTTTAATGAAGTTGATATATAAACCAGGAACTCGATAAGGAAAGAGGAAAGCAAAGTAAGGAGAAAAAGAAAGAAGACAAAGGATAAAATCACAAAATAAGGAACCGGTTTTTGTGCGCCAGAGGCCGTATGGAAATTGTCCAATTGTCCCCATAATATTTTTAAAAACATGGGAAAGTTACAAGTGGCAAACTAAACCTTGCACTGCCACACGCATAAAACATGTACACACACACATATATATACACATACACACATATATATATATATATATATATATATATATATATATATATATATATATATATATATACACAGAGACATGCATGCTTTAACCTTCTCTCATATACACACAGATATAAATGTTTATATGTATATGCTTATATTTACATGTATGTATATATATATATATATATATATATATATATATATATATACATGTATGTATATACATGCATATATACATTTTATATATATATATATATAAAGATATATACATATATATATATATATAAATATATATATATATATATGCATATATACTTATATATCATAATGCTTATATAGAAAACAGTTTTTAAGGAATCCTCACACAAACATGCAAACACACACACATATATATATAAAAGTACATGGTTATTTATGTACACACCCTGCGCATATAAATGTGCGTGTTTGTGTGCCTCCCTGTGTGCTTCCTATTGTGTACGTATGCTTGTGTGTGTTAATCGTAAATGATAGCATTGTCTTCGTTTGTTGCACATACTTGAAAGTTGTTTACGTACAAGTTCGTGTATATGTGAGCATACGTGCGAAATACGTTCAAAACTATTTCTATTTGTGTGTATCGACCAATCGAACGCTTTATCTCACAATCGTAACAGATAAACAAAGGGAAAAGGGGAAGAGAGGGCGCGTTGTGTAACCTGCAAAACAAGCGTCCAGATAAATGCGAAGTCTTGTTAGAGATGGTGAGTTGATAGCAAGATATGAATAGAATGAGAAAAGAAAGAAACAAAGATAGACCGATAAGAACAGTCAGAGATAGATAGATATAGGAACAAACTGAGATAGACAGATACATAAACAGATATAAAATGACTGATATATATATATATATATATATATATATATATATATATATATATATATATCGATAGATAAATAAAAACAGACTGATATAGGCAGATAGAAAGATAGTTGGATAAGAACACTGAGAAAGATAAAGTACAGACTTAGATAGATAGATAGATAGATAGATATAAAATATATATATATATATATATATATATATTGATAGATAAATAAAAGCAGACTGAAATAGGTAGACAGAAAGATAGTTGGATAAGAACACTGAGATAGATAGATAGATAGATAGATAGATAGATAGAGAGAGAGATAGAGGAAGTGGAAGGAAGGAAGGAAGGAAGGAAGGAAGGAAGGAAGGAAGGAAGGAAGGAAGGAAGGAATTATTCTTGACCTTACGGGCATATCGCGTTGAAACATCAGTTCTCGTAAGATCATCGAAGTAAAGCAACATTGAGCCTGGTTACTAACTATATGGGGGACCGCTTTGGAATTCCACATTCTGTAAGCCGGATGTGACGGCGGTTAATTGACAACTGCTCAGAATCGGAGAGTTGAGTTCCATTTCAAGTCGGGTTCATTATATTCATTTACATGCATATGCTCTTGGGAATGTTATGAGCACCCCCTCTCAGGTATGGGATAATTAGTAAGGTTGTATAAGAAAATTATTATCTCCAACAAATGCTTACAATCTATAAATGTGTTACTTGCTTTAAATAATACCTAGCAGGTTGATAAGCCGTAAAAGTCAATTAATCCATGATGCAATCAGAACATATTTGATCATTCCTCTCCACATCTTCCTCTACTTCATTGCTTCTCGTAATGTTTTTTCTTTTCGCCATCATTACCATTCTCTATTCTGCGATCCATTTAACGAAGTATTTTAGTTGCTCGCTGGCTCTCATGGCCAGAAAGCAAACGTTTAAACCCCTTGCTCACGTGCCCATAAATCACAAGTTTACCATGTAAGTACCGAACAGGTGTTTCCAATAGGGTTTATCTATTTTTCTCTAGCAAACGAATATATTCTGAAGCGATTAGCAGGCTATTATATATTAACTGAGACAGATAATTAGATTAAAAGGATATGTGGGATGCTGAAAATGTTTATTCCTGAAGAGTAACATACAGCTTCGTTTTCGCCAGCAATGTCAAAAAAATGGTGGAGTGTGATCATTTTCAAGCTAAGATTGTTGTGGCACATTCTTTGTGTAAGCTTTGACTATTGCTCTCACATTTGGTCTGCCATTGCTGCTATACTGGTTGTAACAACAAAATTGTCCAATTGTTAGATTAAGCTTTGAACCGTTGTATCTTAGAAAAGATTAAAGATATCTTACTGGAAATCTCTGAGATTTTTATAACAGTGTTTGACTTTACTTTGAACAATAAGAATGTATTTAGCTCTAAGTTGAAATGATGACCCCCCCTCTTCCTGTTGTGACCCCCGGACCAGTTTCCCTCTCTATTGCTCCCTCTTTTTTTAAAAAAAACAAACAAACTTATTTACCGTTCTTTTGATGGTTCTTGAATGGATGTTGTAGATGCTGTTACCATTAATGAAGGCCTGAATGATATTTTCCTCTCACCATTGCTCAGTTGGGGAGACTTGTACCAAAATAATTTTAACTTGTTCTCTCTCTAGCTGAATCACTGAAAGGGTTTTCGAGTGATTATTACATGAAATGGTGTCAAGATGGCTAAACATCTAAGTTGAAACCTTGGAAAAGGAAGCTCAATTTGTTAATGTTTTTTTTTTTTTTTATATTAAACATTTTGTGGGATGGAGAATTATCTCATGCTGTTGCACGATTTGGACAATTTTGCTGTTACACAAGGTATATTTAGAAGTTT